CCTTTATCGCCCACCCACCCCTTCCTCCCTACACACACACTCACACACACACACACACACGCAACGCATGTGGGTGATCTTAAACTTCACAAATTTGCCACCTTTATTCGGCCACTCGACGTCGTTCTGCTACACATTTTCTGGTCCACATCCACTGAAGCGAACTTATCACAATTGTGGTGGCTGTTTCTCAAAGTTGTGTCTTATCAAGAGGATGAGTTGGACGGTTGCTCAATGAAGCAGAAACCAGATAATTTGCCCCAAACCAAGTGTTCAAGCCTGGCCTGAAGATTGCACTGAGCCAGATGGACAAGACCGGCAGGACCGATTCAGAAGAAATAGAAACAAAAATCCAAGACGTCCTTTATCCGATCCAAATTAGGTATTAAGGTCACTTTTTCCCCAGACTGTGACTTAATTGACTTTTACCTTTTGCCTGGCTATCAGTCCCAGGTTGGCATTTCGTGGGGCATTTCTGTATCTATCCAGACACACACACAGACGCACACAGCAGACAGACGGACATTTGCAGAAATTATATTCGGGGCCCTAGCCAGACAGAGTGTTAGCAGTATCTCATTACACAATGAATAGGGCAAGATATGCCTGGAGGAGGTACTCTTTTCTGCATGTTTCCCATGATTTAAGGAATCACGCGAACTCGTTGTCTGCCGTCTGCTCATCCGCCACATCTCCATGGTCCATTTTACCCGGTCTGGACAGAAGTAGCCGAGCGAAGGGGTACAGAAAATTGGGGTGCAGGACAAGTCAAGTGTAAAATGTTCAAGTGTTCACTCATTTTTCGTGATGATAAAAGAGGCCTAACTTGTGCCGCTGGCGAAGGAAAGAAGAGTGGGATGGGAAATGGCCAACACGACTGCCCGTCACTTCACACACCACTAAGCGGTGTTCCGATAATGCACATCACTACTCCAAGTCGAAAAACTAATCTGAACAGTCTACCCAAGCGTTTCAAAGACATCTTCCTTTTTCTCTTGGCCTTAACGAGCCTGGCTATAGATCGAGTTAAAGCTAGATCTTGTCAAAAAGTAAAGTGAAGCATCTGGGCTGCAGGTTATGCATAATAGGCAACATACAAAGAGAAACTGAGTTTTGAAGTCTCTCTTAATTTCTTTTCTTTTGAAAGGGTGGATGGAAAGGATTAGTAAATTAGGCAAAAAACCTCAACTCACCGTCCTGCGATTCCGATAGGTCCGAGCTAAGCTTACTTGCCCCCTGGGATGAAAAATAAGGAAAGATGCCCGGTTGAAATCCTTCTCCCTTCCTGTACCCAATTTTATTATCCTAATGGGACATGCCATGATTAATACCTACCCTACATGGATGCAGAATAAAGTCGATGTATAAAAGTGCAATACTAATGCATGTACACTGCGTCTATGCCATACTCAAGAATCAGTCAATTAAGAAGAGGTAACATGTTGGGCAAGTATTCTGTGAGAGTAGGTTTCGAAACTATCAGTAATTAATGAATTGGAATTGAGTTAGCCTAGGCCACTTTAAGAGATTACCTTTGAAGCCAACTTTGCCAACTTTGAATAAGAAATTCAGTCACCCTCATTTGCATAAGGTGATAAAGAATTGATAAAAAAATTTTTCTACAATCATATCAATAGGCACCACAGTGCTATTTATTATCCCATAACCTTGCCTACCAAAAGGCATTATCCGCTTTCGTTTCGCTTATAAGTAAGTTTTTTCAGACTTTCAGTGGATCATTTTTATATGAACTGTATGAGCTGACTGCTAGCTGAATATTTTCCATTGAATTTCACATAACCTTGTTTTCCCAAAAGGTATTCTAACGCAAAGTGAATTGCAGTTTCGACCTCACCTAAGGCTTATCAACATCCCCAGTGAGACTCTAACCGCACACTTCAAGTAGAAATGATCTCTTGGTAGTCTCGAAAAACCTACTTATAACCGAAACCTAAGCAAAGTAGTCAATTGCTATAGCAAATACAAGATTGCTTAGTAGACAATCCGACCAAAGAATTTAATATGAGCAGATGCCTGGCCTTCCTTAAAATTCCAATTTTTCCTGTGACACAAACGCAATCGTGGCAATGTGGCGTGGTATTTAACGCGTCGATATTATATGCTACCCTGTCATGGTACGAGTCCCGCTGGGGGTGTTGCTAAGACCTCGGCGAGGTCGAAACTGAAGTCCACTCTGGATAAGAATATCTTTTGGAAAATCAAATCTAGTAAAATTCAATGAAAATATAAGATGGGTGGATATACTTCATATATTATTATTCTGTCAGGACTCGAGATTCGAATTCTCCTGGGAAACTGATTGTGCGTAACATGGCGATATGTTACGACTCCGCCGCATATTCATGGGTCTCAAAAGGCCATAGGACAGATTCGATTTACTAAGCTTGGTCAGGCCTCTATATGATGTGTATTCACCTTATTTCGTTGGGGGTGATACATGTATGGTAGTTGAATTTTCCCACAATGCTATGGGTATATCTTGCGTTTTTATTTAATTTCAAATTAGCAAACACTTATCTCCTTCAATTAATCACGTTGCTTATATTTGGAAGCAGTTCCCTTCTTGAATATCCCAATTCCAGAACAAAAGTCAACAGTGATGTACATAAATGGTTCTTTTGCCCTCATTAACTTAAATCGCTTGGTTTCGAATTCTATAGCAAAGGAAGCAAGGCTGGATGAAATTCAATGATTTCTTGAGGTCTATATATGGGAAGTGTAATTGTTGGAGAGGCTTTCACTTCGTATGAAAATGCATGAAAAAGAGATTTGAAAGTCAAACTCATCCGAAGAGGACGGCTCATTCTCGGTGTAGTGTAGCCATTTGGCTCAGGTTGACGCAGTTCACCAGACATCTTCCCTCGTTTCCGTTGAAAACTGGCTTAGCTTTATTCCATCATGACGGACATTATCAGGGCTGTAAATCATTCGTAAAAAACTATCAAGTTAAAACTAGGTCAAGAAGGCCTTCAACTCATCAGGAGTGACCTTGTTCATGGGAACGACAATTGCATATTTGTAGTCCGAGTGAGTCGGTTTGGGAACAAATAGTAAATCTTGACTAAGACCTATGGTCACCCTAGGTCGCTTAAGATTATGAAGAACTGTTAGTTGATTTTTCCTACATTCTCTTTTGGGGGACAAGTCTAATGATATAGTGAGGTATACTTGCATCATTGTGTGATAATTCAGCCATCAGTTCATCCTCATATGCGACCGAGAGTCATTGGAATTCTTAGTTAAGATTTACGGATGGTATAGATAATCAACTACATATAAATACTTTTATTGACCAGTACCATGGATGATGGTATTTATATTCATTTTGTTTGGCTACGAATCTATTGGTAATTCTGGAATAAGAAAATTAAATTCACATCTGGCCTGTACAGCAGAGACATCCGTGGCTGCCTCCGTGGTGTGTAAGACACGGTTTCGAATCCCGTTGGGAGTGATGATGAAACTGCAGTCCAGCCTGGATGCTAAATTTTTTTGGCAGGAAAGGCCAAGCAAAATCCAATATAATCGTAAGGTCGTATGACGGACTATGTTTTGTAATGCCCATTTGTCAGGCTGAATAGGATTTTTGAATGAGACTCATGCTCACATGTACCCCATGTTTGATTCGAACTGTGAAACACACGCCAACAAGTCACTCTCTGGGTCCAACGACCCTAAATCCAATGTTGTATACAACACTCACAGCAAATATCTCTTTCTTAAACAAGTTTTGTGGTGAACTCTCATTAGGCGAGGGCCACTTATTTGCCTTTAAATTCTACGGTAGTATGTCAATTTGGTGCAACTTGATAAAATAGTAATTATTTTAAATGGAGCTTGGGCTACTCTATATCGTTTATGGTGAGGTAAAGACTGAGCTGAATTTCCTACAATGGCCTTATGATGTCATTGCATTTTGCATCCAGAGCCTACCGCTGTTTTGGTCACCTTTATTACTAGCCCTAGAGAGGGGATTCTGAACTAGGTCGTGTGTGTGAAGTTGCAAGAAGTGATGATGGCATTCTATGAGAGTATGTTTGAAAACTGCCAGCTACTCTTGATGAGGGCCTAGTCATCCTAGATCGTCTTTAGGTGATTTGAGAACTAAGCATGCAATTTTCTCTGGTTGTTTCGACATCGCTATTGTGAAGTCACACAATTTTCAGATTAAATAATTACGGTGCACTTTTTAGTGCACTCTGTACTATTCGAAATCCTCATATCCATACTGATCTCACTATTCACCCGTTTCTAATGATGAAATAGAAAAAGTAAGTTTGTTTTTGCATTGAGATTGACTGTACCACGTTCCAATACAGCTAACATTGCAGATTTTAGTTGACTCTGTTTTCTCAGCACCCCAGACCGGACTCGAACTATCCAAGGTCGGATCCGAGGGCTAATCTATATGCGCAACAGTCTGTACTTAGATCATAGCATTAGTGAAACTGAAGCACTTTCTATGCTCTACAGTGAATGTCTTTCCAATTTATCAGTCGTTCTTGAACAATAAAACGATGCAGGCCTTATTTCTGACCAGAGGCTGGGTTTCAAAGATTCCCTCAGTGATTTACTGTGATAACTTTTTATTTCGAAGTAAAAGTTGGTTGGAAGGAATTTATGAATCGTCCTCACAGAAAAAAAGATTACGGTGGAATGAAGAATGTTGGAGTGGGCAAGCAAGTCCCTGGTTCAGCATCCTGTGACCCTGATAAATCCTTGCTAAACTTTTGCCTGCCATCTTGTGACGGTCATTGCCAGAGTGGGAAACTGTTACTTAAGAAAATATGCAAGAAATACAATAAGTCAAGAAATAATGGCATCAAGATGCGATCAAATTGACTTTAGATATAAGAATTCATGAATTTCTTACGGCCAACTTTCAATCGAAATAAAAAATCATGCCACAATAGATACAGACGCCGTTGTTTAAGGTGAACTGAGGAATGCTATTTGGATTTGCCACAAATAAATGAGTAAGTCTTAGGAATACATTAAAATTGGCTAAGTATTGACTCACAATTAATGTTCTCATCCAACTTTGGTACCAGTCCGCCGCAAAGAAAGCGATTACCAATTATTTTGGAGCATCCTTTGATAAATTAAAAGTGTAGCGACATTTATTCTGTTTGGAATTGATTCGTTACTTGGTAGTACCACCTACAAAGATAGTATTACCTGTGATGTATGTCTGTGGAAATGTTCTAAAAGCCTTTGGCAGGCCATGATGCTACCCCAGATGAATCTGTGCTGGGTTTTGCCTGCCTTGTCGGAACAGAGATATTTAAAGCTAAAAAGAAGTATTTGCCAGTAAGTCAAGCAAAATGGCCGTCTGTAATCCCATCTGCATATTTGCGAACTTATTATGGAATTTTTTAATGATTTTATAGGCTTCTTCATACTCAACTCAGGTGCTTATGGATGACTGCATTTGATGCCTTTAGAGGATGTAGATGTGGTCACTTTGGATATATGTACCAAATTCGCGGGCTATTTCGAACAATTCAATAGATATACCTCCCAGGTAATACTATATCTGTATCTGGTACTGCCAAGTTATGAATCCATTCAATCAAGCTATTTAAACAGAATAAAAGTTGCTACACTATGTACCAGTTCAACGATCCGATATTGGAAATCTTGAATAATATGTGAAGGGAAGGACTAGGTACGTTCCACAAGGTCTCTCCTTGCCCTGACCAAGTAGCGAAAACGAGGTTATAGCAATACTAAATAAATTAACATTTGCTCGCGCAACTTCGAAGATTGTTTAGGCGGATGGTTGCTTGTGTTTTGTGAGTATGAAATT